ATGTATAAACAGAACAGACAATGAATACAACAGAAAACTGCACTTTGCAGTTGGTACACAAATGAACCCGACAGGACCTCTGATAGGACATATTTATATTGATTGTTGTTGGTGATGACAAGAAAAATCCCTTTCTGGTACCTTGTTAACTGAAATGGGTTTGGTATCGCATGTGTGCGGGCACAAATTGATGAATGGCAATCAGTTTGAATTACTGATATACACATGGACAGCATGCAGCCTCAGCCACTTCAAGACTGATTTTAAATCAAAGAAAAAAATTAAACTAAATTAACAACAGTTATATTACACAAGAATTGACAAAACAAGATGACCCGTTCCCTTTGCTTTAACACACATAAATCATCCCAATGGTTGCCTGAAGTTACACAAAACTCAATGGAAATCATAGTTGTAAGTTAAGTTGTAAGATTTTTTTTTTTATAAATAAGCCTGCCTCTAAGGCAAGGCAAGTTTATTTATATAGCACTTTTTAACACAAGGCAATTCAAAGTGCTTTACAAAAAATGAAACACATTAAGAAAATGGCATTTAAAATCAGTCATTAAAAAGAAAAGCTAATAAAATAAAGATTAAAAGAAAAAAATACATGGATAAAAGTTACAGTGCAGTTTAAGATATGAATAGTTCAATTAAAAGCAGCGGCAAAAAGAAAAGTCTTTAGTCTGGATTTAAAAGTAGTCAGAGTTGCAGCGGACCTGCAGGTTTCTGGGAGTTTGTTCCAGATATTTGGAGCATAATAACTGAACGCTGCTTTACCATGTTTAGTTCTGACTCTGGGGGCAGAAAGCTGACCAGTCCCTGAAGACCTGAGAGATCTGGATGGTTCATAATTTAGCAGGAGGTCAGAAATGTATTTTGGGCCTAAACCATTCAGTGCTTTATAAACCAGCAGCAGTATTTTGAAATCAATTATTTGACACACAGGAAGCCAGTGTAAAGACTTCAGAACAGGAGTGATGTGATCCACTTTCTTAGTGTTAGTGAGGACTCGAGCAGCGGCGTTCTGAATCAGCTGCAGCTTTCTAATAGATTTTTTAGTGAGACCTGTGAAGACACCATTGCAGTAGTCGAGTCGACTGAAGATAAAAGCATGGACAAGTTTTTCCAAATCCTGCTGTGACATTAGTCTTTTAATCCTAGATGTATTCTTTAGGTGATAGTAGGCTGACTTAGTAACTGTTTTAATGTGACTGTTGAAACTCAGGTCAGAGTCCATGACTACACCTAGATTTCTGGCTTTATCTGTTGTTTTGAACATTGCAGACTGAAGCTCAGCGCTAACTTTTATACGTTCTGCCTTGGCTCCAAAAACCATTACCTCAGTTTTATCTTTGTTTAATTGGAGAAAGTTCTGACACATCCAGTCATTGATTTGTTCAATGCACTTACTCAGTGTGTGAATTGGAGCATAGTCTCCTGGTGAAATTGTTAAGTAAATGTGTGTGTCATCTGCATAGCTATGGTAACTTATTTTGTTGTTCTTCATTATCTGAGGCAGTGGTAGCATGTAGGGCTGTACCCGAATATTCGAATATTCGTTCGTTGGCCAACTATTCGGGTTTCAATTTCATTATTCGGATATTCGTTTTTTTTCCTCCTAAATGTATGCTATCAATAAAGGTGAATTGCCATATTCTTATACTATATTTATACTTTTGAATTGCACTGCTAAAATGCAGAAATATATACAATCTCAGCCTGTGCTCCTGACATCGCGTTCACTCACAGTTACGAATGCAAACGGCACGCTTCACCTCGCTTCACACACCTGAACACAAAATGCCGAAGACTTCAGCTGTGTGGGACCATTTTAAATTGGACGACGGTAAGAAGAAGGCAGTGTGCCAAATATGCGACAAGAAACTGGCCTACCACGGTGGCACAACAACTCTGAAAAGTCACCGGATGCTGTAAGTACTAGCCTAGCTTAGCTTAGCTGTTGTCAAGTTGCCATGATGAAGCTGCTTTATCCGCCGTTTAAACAGTAACGTTACACATGGTAAAATCGTGCACTTACTTTGCTTGGAAAATAGTTCCAAGCAAGCAACCGAATTGTTTGTTTATATTAGTCTTTCAATTTGATCCGAATAGTGAAAATAATAGGAGCAATGTGGGAACATCTGGGGCTAAGGCAATTATTGGCATACAGTTCGTTCATTTATTTTTCGTTCTTCATTTATTTAAATACTGTTTACTGTATCGGTAACAAGTATTACACTGTTAGGCCTACTGTTACGGCGATGTTATTAAAAGTATTGTTGTTATAACAGAAATATGTGTTTTGTATCTTCAGGTTGTAAAACGTTATAGACGGAATTTGGAACCAGATTTGGTCCCCGGGCGCTGCACTGCTGGGTTAAATGCAGAGGACACGTTTAGTTTGAATGTATGCGAGTACTGAGACAATAAATAAATATAAATCGTAATAGTATGCTCTTTCTGCGCTTCTGCTTAACAGCATGTTGTCAGGTGTCTCAGAGCGTGTTATGAAAAAAATGTGAAAAAACATTTTTATTAAAAAATAAAAAAATCTCTCCGCACCGAATATTCGCTGCCGAATATCCGGAGCCCGGAAAATGGTATTCGGGACAGCCCTAGTAGCATGTAGACGTTAAAGAGAAGAGGCCCCAAGATGGAGCCTTGAGGGACCCCACATGTCATATTTGTCAACTCAGATGTGTATTTACCTATAGAAACAAAGTTGTTTCTGTCCTTTAAGTAGGATTCAAACCAATTAAGAACTGTTTCCGAAAGTCCCACCCAGTTTTCCAGTCGGTCGAGTAATATGTTGTGGTCAACAGTGTCAAACGCAGCACTGAGATCTAATAATACTAACACTGAAGTTCTGCCACTGTCTGTGTTTAAGTGGATGTCATTAAAGACCTTTACAAGAGCAGTCTCAGTGCTGTGGTTTGGACGAAAGCCTGACTGGAACACATCAAAACAGTCTAAGATAAATGAATGCTGATTAATCAATGATCTTGTTAAATATGTTAACCATCCCTGTTAGAATACAAAAAAGGCACTGGATGTTCATTGAAAGTAAGGCCAATGACAAACCAAAGGAAAAGCAAAAAGTAAAACAGCACAGCTATAAGACCATCAAAATGCAATGTTTTGAAAGAGTCCACCAAGAGGCCTAACGCACCTCTGAAAGAGCTACTGTAAAGGATCATAGATATATTCTTGCGACCATGGTGCTTCACCAGCCACAGCTCTATAGATGTTCAGAGAGAAAGCCACAGTTGAACATAACTCACATGATATCGGCTACCATTGGAAAGCTTCCTTGTGGGATATTCAAAAATAAAATGTTGTGGGAAAGTCACAGTCCAGACCTCAAATCAATTTGATAATTTGTGGCAAGACATTCAATTACTGTTCCCATGCAATTTGACATTAAAATTGTATGAGGCCAGAATTGCAAATCTAAGACTTGTTTACAAGGTGACCATTTCACGTAAACATAATGCACATTTTCTGTCTAAAACATTGTTTGTTCAAAATGTAAAAATGTTCTTCTCTCATAATCTTTTCTAACCTAAAATTAACTTCCAGAAAACATCTGTCTCAAATTATTGGTATTAAGTTAATGTAGCAGCAGGAACAGGAAATATATAAAGCTTTATTCCAGCTACTTTCTGACTAGCTAGAACAACTTTCTCATACAGTTTGGATGCTGCAGTGGGATTTCTTCTTGTTGACCCTTTGCTGGCTAGCTTTGACTTCTGTATGCATTCAGGCAGCTAGTCTATATAATGCAGCCCCCAATAAACAGTGACAGCTGTCCCCTCATGACAAAAGGATGTCTGCACACTGTAATGTTTCACAAATAAAGTGTGTTCCTCTCCTTTTCAATTTTAGGGTAAAGTTTTAACCTACAAGATCACCCTGAGGCAAGCGTGAAAGAAACAAACATTTATTGAAGAAGGCGTGATCATGCTTACATAGTTTGCTTAGGTTTCATACAGTTTTATTTACATTTTGGAGTGACCAATATCAATACTTTCGCTGTTGGTAATACTGTGTTTTCATTTAAGAATGTCCCGGGAAGGATCAGATTCATGCTTTTGAATTTAATCAACTCTCAAAAGAGATGATAATGTCAAGTGTTAATGTTCAAGGTAAAACAATTAAACAAGGACATAGTTCTTACAATAAGTGTTTGCTTAAACTTTATATGACAAATTACATGTTCTCATTACTTGAAAGGTACATAAAATGTCTTGCTTGTGTATTGTACATCATTGACTCTTATCATTACAGACTTTATTTTATTATAACTGCTTCCAAAGAAGCCTGTCGTTGAAGACACTGACACATCACAGCTGTTTCCCTTCAGCAATTACTCACTCATCATATCATTCTCCATCTAACATTCCCTATGTTAACATGTGTCCTCCCCTTTTTTCCTGTCTATATGTAATTTCAGGGTCTATGTTAAAGAAAAGAAAAGAAGAATTTACTGCCTACACTAAATGAAAAGTAAGCCCAGTAACTGTTAGCAACCACCCCCAACGGAAGAAAACCCGAGTCTTAAGCCAATTAGGACCAAATAAATACTCTTACAATCACACCTGTGTCCTGTGTTACTGTCACGTATCTACATTGTAAGAACATACGTGTTTTATCTTTCACTATCTCATGTTTCCGACAGACCTGATAACATTCACTAGCGATTACTGGTGACAACCAACCATGGCTTCAAGACATCGTTGGCTACCTGGCTAACGTTAGCCGATATCCATTGTTAGCCCGCTACGTAATACTACCTCTAATAACAACCTTCACGTGTCTTTCACTGCTCATCCTTCTTTCGGTTTCAGAAACTATTTGAGACAAATAGAGTTTCAATATTAAGCCAGGCTAGTTTTCCCGGAAACGCATCAGCTAACGTTAGCTTTTTCCCCCAACTGCAGCTAGCCACATGGGTGATGATGACAGCGATGAAGGCAAACATAATCTAACACACTCACCCAGAACCACCGGGACACTCTGAAGATCAACTCCGAGTCATGGTGAGAAGAGAAGAGCTGTTATCTGAAGGAAAACGTCGTTGAAGAGAAAGAGGGACTAGGTTTAGTAGGAAAATGTTGTTGCAGAGTGGAGGGCTGCTGTGTTGACAGCTCAGTGGGACAGACTGAGTACTACAGCCGTGGTGAACTGGCCTGAACTGGCTGTCTGACGGCAGGAAGTGACTTCACTGGGGGGGAGCAAGGTGGAGAGCGAGACCACCCCCATGTAGTAATATCATTTCAGCAATAAAAGGGAAGCGTATTGTCTTCAGAAAATATAAATTCACGAAACATACGGTTGCGTTGTTGTGTTGATTGTGACATTTGTTTCTAAATAAACAAGTTATTCTGGGTAATTTAAAGGATAGGCCTATCTAACCCAAATACAAGTTTATAAATTATGCTTTTTGATTATGCTAAAGTGATTTTTGAGGTGAACAAGTGTGTCGACAAAATCAGTTTGAAAAAAGTTGTAGTTTTGTACAATAAGTAGGCTAATGCTACTTTATTATTGTATACATTTATAAAACTATAACATTATTGTAAAACAATACATATTTGAAGAATACTATGCTCGAGACAAAAAGTGAATGTTAAATGTAATGTATTTTTAAATTATATGTATTGCAACTTTCCACGGATTGGGGTCAGTTGCAACATCTGACATATTGTGAACAATTTGTCTTGTATATTCATCTTGGCCACAGAATAGCACATGATGGTAAGGTAACAATACAGGTTTTATGTATTTTTTGTATGATCAGTGACAGTGACACAAATAATTCATTATAAGGATATACCATTTTTTGTTTTTGTTCAATTGTATTTAAAATTCAAGAAAGGCTAGATTACCAAATGGACAAAGTAGGCATTAGCTCAAAGGGCCCATACTTGAGTTTATGTATTGAAGGTCATACAGGCCAATGCTTATTTTTGCAATTTTGGGTTTTTAGCCACACAGTTGAAAACTTTTTTTTATTTTTAAAAGGATATTGGAACATTAATGTCAAAAATAGTCCCCCTTCTTATGCAACTCATAATCTTTATTCAGGTATTCAGTAAAAACAAGGTATTTGTTATTCAGCTTTCTGTTTATGATTGATTTCTTGCACATTCTCTGCAACCATTCAGTATGTTGTCTCACTCAATTCCCCTCTCCCTGCTCCCCCTGTGTGAGGTGAACAAAATGTCCTGCGGGCTCAAATCAGCCAATGTCTTCCATGTCCTCTTCAGTGAGGCGATCTCTGACGCATGGGCCAAGAAAAACAGAAAAGGCTGTTTCCCACTGCAGCTTCAGATGTGCTAATCCGTCCTCTTCATCACTTCTGCAAACAGAATTCCACCTTTTTACGTGGGACACGCGGTTTGTTTTCCTTTGGCCTAGTCTCAGAAGGGACAGAGATGAGGCCCAGAGATGGAGCAATGCTAGCTCAGCACTCATCATGACATCAGACGGCTTAGTACAAACATGTCCTTTTTAGTTGATTGAATCTGTTGGATATACAGATAAGACATTTTTAAGGTCCATTTACATGCAGGTTAATAGCTTAAGTTTTTAACCAAAAAGATTAAACTTTTACAAAATTATTGACCCCAGTGAAGTTGAGGAAACATATTTTGCAATCTGAGTTCCAGTTAAACAGCCACTATGTGAGTAATCATTGATCTTATTCTGCATTTCAGATGTCAGGCTTCTTAACTAAGCTGCACACATGGGATACATTCCTATCCATTAGCAACACTACTAGCCTATGCAACAGGAAGCACCCAAGGTATTTCTATGTGGGTTGATTAATCACATCCCAAATTCATTAAAACAAAAATAAATATGTACTAAGCACTGAATGAATTGAGGTCAAATGTCCACTGGCAGTAAGGGTGTGGTTAACATCACATTATTAATAGGGATTTCCTGACATGATTGTATATAAAACCACATGTGAAATAATTATACAAATGTTCAAAGCATGTATTTTTTACAATGTTACATGAGACCTGATCTGCAGAAACTAATGCACAAAAAAAGACCTCCTTAAAATGTAACCTAATAATTTACAACAGATAGAACAATGAGATGTTATCATCTTGACATGGATAACCCATATATAAACATAAGTAAACAATATTATTGAATTATCTCCCAGCCCGACCTATCATGTCATGTTTACACACCGAACAAGGTGTTGAATGACATTCATTTCTACAGCTGATATCAGCAATTGCTGTTCAACTTCATTAGTTGTTTCCCAGTAATTTGTCTGACAGGCATATCACTTAGGGAAATGTAACAGGGAGGAGTAAAATGTGCTCCATAACTTTGCTCTAATCTGTGTATTGTTCCGTTATCAGTTTTAGGAAGTCCCTTCAGTTAAAAATGGCCTGGTCTGTTGCTCCAGCATCGTGGTCTAAAGACTGGGAGCAGGCAAATGGAGCTCTGAGGGATGATGGAGAGGACGGGGGAGTCATGGCCGTCTAGTCTGGTGCCTATCTGCTCTGAGGGGCCTTTTCCCAGTCCAGCCCTGATAACCTGGGGCGACTAGCAAAATACAGGATATGACCCCATAACCCTGCAAGGCAGCAGGGTCGCAATATTGTTTTATTAGGGAAAGACTTCAAGTTCTCAGAAGGCTTTGTGAATATAGTCAAGACAGAGCTTTGACTTAGTTAAGCCACAAGCTTTAGTTAAAGGTACATTTATATTTAAGAGACAAACTGCACAATACAAAATCACTAACCACATGATCTGCAATTTTAATTGTCATTGGATCAACACTGGCCAGTCGAGTTGACGAGAAATATACTGTTTATTGCATCACACACATCAGCTTAAGTAAAACAAGACAGATAACAGGTTAGTGTTTTATCTTTTTATTTCCCCTCAAATAAATGCACCAGGTGTGGATCACATTAGTAATTGATAATGACATTTGTTTGTTTTTCTGTCAAAGCTGCATCTTTCTCTTTTCTAGAAGACAGGGATTTCTGTGGGAATCCAAACATGGCACAGGTGCAGAAGGGTTTGGGGTTTGTTGGCCTTTGAGTCGGAAACTCTTCTCCCTCCCGTTGATTTGCTGTTGGTTCTCTCCACGGGGCATTTGCCTCTTCAAAATCCCACTGAAAAATACAGAACAGTCAAGATATTATGATGGAGAATTCAAGACTATGACACATCAAAATGCTTCATAGTTTACAATGCTTAGATAACACTCATCATACCTTAGTAGCTTATTAACCATCCCTGTAGCTATTCATTTATTCTGTTATGTCTTAGGATACGATAAAAAAATATTGTGCTGTAAAGACATCCATAAATGGATCGGTCGGTTTCTATTTGATTAGCTATCAGACTCTTTCCAAAGCTACCAGACACTACTGACAAAAACACAATATTCATATTTTTGTCATATCTTTGATCATAAAGGCAATCACACAGCAAGTCTTAAAGCAGGATAATATTCTAAATATGGCTTATTATGTTGTGTTTTTTTTCAATGGGACTTTTCTTTTTCTTTAAATGATGGCTATAATACCCTTGTCTGCTGCAGCCGTCGACATCAGCATATTGATTTTATTTTTCGCCTGCCCTCCTGTCTGATCCTCTAAACTGGGAGTATGTAGACCTTCATCTATTATAGGTAATAAACATACTATGGATAGTTACCTCAATCCACCCATAATTCCAAACTATCCCCTTGGGGCCTCAACATTGGTATTTTTTTGGGTGACAGATAATGTCTCAGTGGTTACAGTGTGGTTACAGTGTGCTCACACCATCTAAACTACATGCGAGCAGCGCATACAGTCCATTTAGCACTTCTTTGTCTTGCCTTATCATTTCTGGAGTACAGAAATACTTGTGGTTACTTCAGACCCTGATCCTTATCCTATTTAATACTGGTTATTTGTAATGTCCGAGGTCCTTTTTTATGACTCATGTTGTGTAAGAGCATCAGTAAAATGTCAAGAATGCAAAATGCCTAGACTTGCTCACACACACAGTTAGATCCTGGCCAGCAGGCATCACACAGGAGACCATAAACATCTCCTAAAATAGCAGCGAGGGTAACACTGGCCCCCCTATAGACAAGCAACTATTTTGCACTACTTCCTAGGCAGACAGGCCCAACCCAGTGCTGGTCTTTAATCAAATATCCTTTACAGGAGAACAATTGGGCCACAAAGCAAATCTCAAACAATTCTTACCCTTGCTTACACCCCCTCCCCTCACCTCCACCTCAGCGAAAAACTGGCGCTCAGCAGAAATGTGCAAGAAAACAAAGGGCACAATAGACAATTCACGCTGTTGGGTGCAGTGAACTCTGATTGCTCGCTGTATGCAAGAAACACACTGCAAAACCTTGTGTGGTTTTTATCATGATCCGCAATTATGGTGATTTCACAAGAAGCAGACAACTTTTGTATTCATGTATTCTGTATACACATCTAAAATTGTTCCCTAGCACTATGATCCGTTTCTTTCTTTCCTCGACTGGCTTTTTTACAGTTGGGTGACCTCTGCGTTTTATCTAGTGGAAAAGTTTGACAACCAAATATAAAGCGACAGTTTTCAAAGCGCAGGCTGGAACTCCTCTGTATATTTTGTGTTGGAGATTACACATTAGACACTGTGGAAACCAACTTTCCATTAAATCACCAAGTAAACAGCTTCTGTTAATAATAACCAGCAAGTGGAAAACCTGCCAGAAAGGGAGGGGCCATCTATGAATGTACCTGCTGTCTTTGTTTAGAAAAACCTCAGACTGGTGATGTATTGATCAGAAAAGATCATCAGATAATATCAGGAGTTTACAGATTGTGTATTATAGCCTCACAGACTAATGTGAGCTGCACCCAAAACATTGAATATTTAGAAGCTCCTTACATTTTCCAGGAAACAAACCTCCACCAATCATTGAGAGTTTAGATTAAGGTACAGAGGAGGAGTTTTCACACAGCCAGATACAGCTGTACACTCTACCACATACAACATAACCACATATTACATTTTGAAACCTTTGTTAAAGGCCTCTTACATGTACTAAGGGGCAGTCGCGTCATTTGCTTTTTCCTGTTTCATAAATGGAATCAAGATGCAATTGTTTGCGCTGACACCATTTGCCTTTGTTTCTGATTAAATTACATCCTCCATAGCTTGGTTT